TTTTGTCGGTCGTGGGGCTTGAACTCTGGGCCTTGGCGCTTTCCCTCAGCTCTTCAGCTCAAGGCGAGCACTCTACCCCTTGAGCCACAGAGCCATACCCCCAACAATTATTTTTCAAAAACATTCCTTTATCATAAATATCACCAGTTTAACTTTTACTGTAAGAATATAACCATTTTAAGCCAGGTGCCGGTTGCTGCACATGCCTATATTTCTAGCTACTGAGAAAGCTGAGATCTGAGGATCTTGGTTCAAAGCCAGCCAGGCAGGAATATATGAGACACTTGTCTCCAATTAACCACCAAAAAAACCAGAAGTGGTAGAGCACCAGCCTGAACAAAAAGAGCTCAAGGACAGCACTTAATCTCTGAGTTTAAGCCCCCGAACCAATTTAAAAAAGAATAACATTTTAAGAGGATCCTTGTTATTATTTATACAAATTCACAAACTGTACAATTCATTGATTAAAAAGTCTCTCGGTTTCTTTAAGTCCATGGATCTTTTTCATTGACTGTGGAGGACTCAAAAATAAACAGGGGCGGGGAGGATTGGGGGGGAGGAGAAGATGGGAAGGGATGGGAAGGGTCCGGTCATTGGGCCTGAACTCTTGGCCTGGGCGCTGTCCCTCAGCTCTTCAGCTCAAGGCTAGCAAGCTACCACTTGAGCCACAGCACCACTTCCGGCTTTTTCTGTTTATGTGGTGCTGAGGAATAGAACACAGGGCTTCATGCATGTAAGGCAAGCACTCTACCACTGAGCCACCTTCCCAGCTCTTTTTTTTTTTTTTTTTACTTTTTTGTGCTGATACTGGTGTTTAAACTCAGGGTCTGAGCACTGCTGCCCCTTAGCTTTTTCTGCCTAAGACTAACCCTCTACCACTTGAGCCACAACTCCACTTCCAGCTTTTTCTGACTACTTTGTTGGAGATAAGAGTCTCATGGACTTTCTTTCCTGAGCTGGCTTTGAATTAAGATCCTCAGATCTCAGATTCCTAAGTACCTAGGATTACAGACCTGAGCCACTGGCACCTGGCTTTATTTATGCTTTTGATAAGGGAATCCCCAGTTTTGCTAAGCTGCCCTTTAACTTAGAATCCGCCTATTTTCTCCTGTTAAGTAGTTGGATTACTAGTTTGAGCTACCATGCCCAGTTTCATCTTCACCTTTGATATTGGTTCAGTTTTTCTTGGAGAATTCTGATTTGGCCTAACGCAATCAAATAATAATAATAATAACAACAACAATAATACACCTTGGTGTTCCAGATAGACTCTGAAACTTTGATCTT